GGAGCAAATTTATAGCAAGGGAGATAATTCGTTTCAAACATTTGCCATTAGGCAAACAATTTTTTTTTTTTTTTTTTATTAAAGTACAGAATCTAATAATTTGTTTACAAGTTCTAAACTTTTCAGTCTGCGGACAAGTATACAGTGCATTTAAAGCAACTGTAAAAGTTGGTATTAACAATCTCACATTTGTTTTTAGTCACTTTCAGAATTCAATGCAGTAAATACACGGGGATATTGTAAATAGGACCATAATGAAAGATTTAAGAATTTCACCCATAAGTTTTTACACAAATTTGTGTATACAGTCTTTGATGAATTATTTTGATGTACAATTTACTCAGTGAAGATTACAAATTGACCAGTTTAGTGACATTCAAAAACATGTGACACCTGTTAGACATTCCTTGCTGTCTTCAGATTGTAAGAAATGTCACCATCTGCCAATGAAGCAAACAGATCTCCACTTTGACACTGATTGTTCAGTGAAGACCAAAAAAGATGGGACATCTAATAACAAGGACTCTGGTTATCCTGTAAAGGACGTCTTTAAGCTGAATCCTAAAAAAGCTTGTGGGGAATGTCCCAAAGGATGACCAAGATAATGCCAACTGGAGACCATTATCCAGGACCTATGCTATATTGGCATACCAATGTAGGAAGACTAAAAACCAGCAATAAATGATGCCCCAATAGAGAACAGTCTTTTTACGTATACATTGGAACTCCAGTAGGTACATTAATCAGTCATTTGAAATATATAATTAACAAAAACATTTTTTCTAAATATTATAAATCATCAATGTTCTAATAAAGGGAAAAAAATTCCCAAAAATGCCATTCCGTTAAAAGTTCAAAGAGTATTTCCATTTGATAATAAAGAGTCAAGTCGAGATTATCTTGACTGTCATTAATATAAAAGAGGGAGTGATTATTAATTTATAACTGAAAAGAAATTAAAAAAATAAAAAATAAAATAGAAGTAAATAGAAGTGAAAAAAATAAATAGAAAAATATCTTATTTTTGAAAAAAAAAATTTATCAAAATTTATTTTTGCTATTCTGTATTCTTTTGTTTTGTTTGTGTGTGTGTGTTAGAGAGGGAAGTTAAAAAGATAATAATGTTAATATAAAGACAGAAAAGAAAGGGAAAAAAAAAAAGGAATATTTTACAAAATAAAGATTAGGAGAAAGGAGAACAAACTGAGAAGAAGTCAACCCCTAATCACCGATGATTTCAGATAATTTAGGAGATTACAAGAATGCTGGAAAATATCTTTCTCTCTGTTCAAATTTCTATAAATACATACACTGAACACTTGTCAAGATAATTACAATATCTGGCATTTTTTGATGTGTTGGGAACTGAAAATAACATTTTCTGTTTTAAATATAGACCAACAACTACTGATTAGTTAAAAGAATTACATTTTCAAGTATTTCTCCTTTTTCTCTGGACTATCAAAATCTGACTGGCCTCTTTAAAAGACAAATCTACTCTAAAACCTCTACCAAGTGTCATTAGCTGATATTTGAAATCTTTCCTGACCTCCTTACTGTATAAAAGCAGGTAGTGAAATCAAAATCTTCAAAATGTGGATAATTTTGCATATCTTTTTACATTAGGAAAGAAAAATTATCATTTTAGAGAGCTGAATAGAAGCTACAATAAATAAATAAAAAATAATGGTCTTGTGCTTGATTTTCTTTCAAAGTTATTTTTCTGTCGTGATCCACAGAAGTATGTCTAAGTTTCATTTTTCCAACAACATGAGTGTCCACAAAAACAGCAAATTCTGCCATTTCAATGAGTCATGCAATTGCCATTCTGATTATATAAGTAGCTACAGGTGGTCTCATTTATATAAATAGATCCTAATATAGATACAACTTAAGCATATGGAAAATGTATTTTTGTCTAACTTTTTTGCTTAAAAGGGAGATTACTCTAAAATGTTACTACATACTATGCTATATGTTTCTTTTTGGGAGGGGGTCTGTTTTTGCATAAAAAGAGATATTTCACTATTTTTAGAGTTATTACCTCTACACTTGCAACGCCAGGTGGCAGTGTCTTTTCTTATGACAATGGCAGACTTTTTCAATATGTTTACAAAACAAGGAAGGAGGGGAGGAAAAGAAAATTTCACTCCATAAAAGAACAGATTACAACAATAGAAAAAGAAATATGAAAATGTAACATTAAAAAAAAAAAAAAAAAAAAAGCTAACAAATACCAATTTCATCCATGCTGTTTTTATTTTTATTTTTTTTTTGACAGCATAAGTAAATAAAAATTTTTAAATGGCCAAATCTGGTCAGGAGATAATCAGCAGCAAGAATTTTAATCTAATTCCTGTGTTATATTCTGGCAAACGGATATAAATCCCCCTCTTCTTCTAGGGTCCAATATTTATATGAAAAGGTTTTCAAAACACATCAATTTTGCTTTATGTAGTTCCCCATATTTAACACTGAAATTTTTTTTTTTTCTAAATTCTCTTTTCCATGTTACAAGTGTATAATAATAAATAAATAAAAGAAAGGCTAAGTATCACTTTTCTTATGGGTGTAACTAATTTAGAATTTTAATACAAGACTTAATTTGTTGCTTTCATGTCAAGATGGGGTTAAAAAATTTAAATGTCACAACAAAATGACTTCCTCTCTTTCAAGTCCCTAGGGTTAAGTAACCAACAAGGGAGACAACTTCTCGTTTGAATACCAAAAACCAAAAGAACAAAACAAAGCCAAAAAACAAAATAAAAAATACATTCAAGGGAGACAACTGATGCTCAATGCAAAACATGACAAAATGAAGGTAAACAGACTGTGCGCACACACAAACACATTATATATATATATATATATATATATATAACACATTATATATATATATATATATATATATATATATATATATAGGGGTGTGGACAAAATAATAACTATTTCCTGTCAGTTAAAAGTAAAGACTTATCCTACTTGTCTATATTTACTTAATGTCTTCTGAAAGCATATTTGTTTTTGGAGTTGGTAAAGTATTGATTGCCTATTATTTTTATCATTAATGAGAAAAGAAGAATTGGATACAGTTTCTCATACATAAAAGATACTGAAGTCAATCAGTATAAACACTTGTATATAAACTAATGCTGTTGTTAATAATAATGGTGGTGGTGGTAATATTTTTTTTAAATTTGTACTTCAACACAGTTGTAGGCCTCTTGTTGACAACATAAAAATGGACATATGAAAAAGTGTCTAAATCTTTTTTCTTCTTTTTTTTTTTTTTTTACCCCGCACTAAGCAATTTTTTTGGTGCTTAAGTGTCTTTAAACAGAAAAAAAAAAAAACATAGGCTTAACTTCTGCACTATTCCTTTCTAACACACTTTTAAGTTTTCTTCCACTATCGTCCAGAAAGAGTCAAAGAAAACAAAGAATTAAGACAAACTATGAAGGAGTATTAAAAAGAAAAGAAAGGGAAAATTCTTTGTTGTAATCTCAGTGTAAAAACTGAAAAAAAATAAAATAAAATAAGAGAGGAAGAATTATAAACAGAAGAGAAAGATGAGTTGGCAAAACGGTTTTGTTTTTTTATTATTTTCTAAGTTATAAATGAGAAAAAGTAAAAAAATCCTTATTTTTCTAAATTCTTAAATATATATCTAAATTTGCAAACTGCAAAAGTTGCTGTAGTAATGGTAATAAACATTAACAAAAGAAAAACAATAAGGGAGAAACTGGATTAAGAAAAAAAATAAATTACCTTTCCTAGGACAATTGTTACGTTTGCATATTTCCTGCACTGAATCTAACAACTATATGGAGGACAAACATTGTACATTTGAATTATCATGAATAGTTTTAATTTAGTCATTTTTTTTTCTTTTCTTGTTTCCCAAAGTACAAAAATAAAATAAAACTTATCACTCTATTAGTTGGAATAACATGTCTATAAAACCTCAAAACCATGAGGACTAGTAAAAATGCAAAGAGAAAATAAGATTATTTAATCCTGGGTATGCGATTTACAATAAGACAGGAGATATGTTGGGTAAAGAAAAAAAAAAAAAAATTTATGAAGGATCCAACAAAAAAAAAAAAAAAAAACTTTTTTTTTTTTTTTTAATTTGGTTTCATGTAATTTGGCTCTCACCCCTGCCCACAACAACTGAAGCCAGCTCCCACCAACACTCGGTTTTATATATTGCAACTTTCGTTCATAAACCCTTTATATTTCAATTTGTACTGCCATTGTTATATTTACCACTTCACTTATATCACAAAAGGTCCTTAAAAATTACTTACCAATTTAGTAGATACTTTGATAATATTAAAGATTCTTTTAAAAAATCTAAACTCACAGATCAATTATTAAAGTGTCTGTAAAATTATTATTTATACAATAAGGAAATTCTATAAAGTTGGTTTTCAGCCATATTTATCCACTTGCTAGTATCAGCAGTTTAGGGACAAGCAAACTAAATTCTGAAAACTAATGAGTATCTCAAATCTAAAAAGGATTGTGCATTTGAATCTAAATACTTGGTTAGTTATCGGACAATTAAGTTTAACAATATAAAAAAAAAGTTTTCAAAAGTAACTTAAACTTTTCACAAAACTGATTTCCTTGTCAAGTAAAGTTTAATCTTTCCTCTTTAAACTATTAATTAACCCCCCCCACCCACACAATTTTCTAGAAATTGTTATGTCCTTTATTAGTTGACATTAGTCCACAACAATATTACTGACCTCTGGAATCGGTTTTCATGAAAATACAGGTCAAAGGTTATTGATGTTACATCTTGAATGTCTTTTTTTTATGAAGGCAGTACTGAACGTGATAACTGTTGTTAAAGTGGTTGTATTTCTTGGTGTTGTGGTGAAGGAGCTGTCGTTATTGTGATTGATCGTGATGGTGTTGTTGGTGCTACTGTCGTGCTGACTACACTGGTAACCTCAGAGCAGTCAACATTCTCCTCTCGATCCCAACTGTCTTCAAAATATGGACTTCTTTTTGTCCTTCTTTGTCCTGAAGGAAACAAAAAGAAAAAACAATTAATATTGATAAAAAGAACAAATTAATGCAGTATTTAACAATAACAACAAATAGTATATGTTAAAGACAGGAGCAAAAAAATAAGATTAATGACAATAATAGTGAAAAGGAGAAAAATAAAAAAAAATAAGATTAAAGAAATAATTGAAAAAAAAAAAAAAATGAAAAATAAAGAATAGATCACAAAAATTAAAGAAAGTAGAAAGAAATGAAAAACAATTGCAGAATGGAATAATAGTTGAAGAAAAAAATTGTAAATAAAGATTAGAAAAAAAATTGAAATAAAGGGGGAAAAATTGAAAAAATGTTAAAAAAAAAAAAAAAAAAAATTTTTTTAAATTAAAAAAAATAATAAAATCAGAAAAGAGAAATGGTAAAAATAATGAAATCAAGACGAGAGGAATGGATAAGAATGGTGAAATCACGGAGGAAGAAGAAGAAGAAAAAAAAAAGAAAGCATGAAAATTCTCAATGAAAAACAAAGAAAATTTTTATGATGAAAGAAAAATTAATAGTAATGTCAAAATCAAAATAAAAGATGGAATATTTATAACAGATTTTCCCAGGTGTACTTTTAAGTAGATCTTTGTAAAGTTAAACAAAACAGAATCAAATAAATATTTAATGAAAATAAAAAGTTAATGTAGGTACTGATGTGATTAAATTAAAAAAAAATCTATTTAAAAAGCAGAAATGGACAAGAGGAAAGAAGATTCAAAATGCAAAAACAGTTTTTAAGTTTTAAAAACAAGCAGAAATAAATTGTGATGGCAACAATGAAACACAAGGCAGAAAGAAGTTTCTAAACTGTAATAATGAAGGTGAATAAAATAATGGAAATAAAATCATTTAGAAAAAAAACATACAAGACCAAATGCTTTTAAAATGATTTCTTAAAAAATGACAAAAAAAAAAAAAAAAAAAAAAAAAAACATGCACAGAAATGAGAGGCAAAATTTTTTAAGCAATAATATAGAAAAAAAACAAATTTAAAAAAAAGCAATACAAAATTGAACACTGTTTTTATCCCCAATTTGCAAAAAAGGGCCTACAAAAAGCAAAATGGCATACAGACGATGCTTTGTCTGGTAAAATCTACAAATAGCAAATGAAAAGGAAGATTTTTTTTTTTTTTAAAAAAAGGATGCAGAAAAAAAAATCTATTCATAAAGCAATGTGAGAAACGGGGGTGAGGAAATTAAACATTTGGGACGGGTACAATCAACAGAGAGTTGCGCAGATTGAGCAACACATATAAGCCCCATGATAGTCAATTTTAAATTGACTTTCTCACTAGCCACCCCCCCCCCAAATTCCCCAGAAGAAAAATTCAAAAGTCCAATCTGTCAAAACTGGATCAAAAATTAAATCTCATTTTAAGTTTATAAACAATGTTTGGCCTTCATCTTAAGGTGACATTATGGAACAGACATATCCGATACATTCAAGATTTCTCATCCAGTTATAATAAAGGCTTAAAACGTGTGCGTGTAAATAAAAGCAAAGAAAAGTCCAACCCGTTTCATGCCTTGAGGAAATTTATCAAAGGTAAATGTGGAGATTTTTTATTTCATAACCTCTATACACAGAAGTAGAGTGGAGGAAAAAATATTAAATTTGAAATTTTTGAATTTGATATTCTTAAAGCTTGCTGCATAAGGAAAGGTAAACTATGGAGGATGCTAGGTTATGTAATTTATGCCAGAGAAATTAAACAACTAAATGTTGCTGAATTATTATTTTTCACTAAGTGTTGACTTCTATGTTCACTTTTATAGTTACACACTATCCCTGATATTGAGCACTTTATCCCATAAATATAGCACACCTTAAAACTATATTTCCTCATATATGAATTATTTATTAGTTAAAATGTTTAATGAATACACGTGATTGAGTGGACATCCTCTTTTTTCTTTAAAACAGTCAATCTATATCTACCAGCCTATGCATTTTAGAGTCTTACAAGGGGGGGTAACTTGCATCCTCCTTGTGTGTGTGCATGCATATATATATATATATATATATATATATATATTAGTTGTATATTTAGGCAGCAATCCTTCCTTTATGCATGTGTCATTAAAAATGACAGGTACTACATTTTCATTAAAAATGACAAGGTACTACGTTTGAGCTTTTTATTTAATTTTTCTTGTGTTCTGACAAGAGCTTTCTTTTCTGGACAAAGGGTGTGCAAGAACTGTCCGAATGTTTTATATTTCCGAGCGCTTTCGGCTATACCTTTAGCCATTATCAAGGATGATTGGATTTTCAGCTTATTTGAGTGTGTGCGTTCTGTGTATGTACCAGTATAGCCGAAAGCACTCAGAAATATAAAACATTCGGACAGTTCTTACACACCCTTTGTCCAGAAAAGAAAGCTCTTGTCAGAACACAAGAAAAACTAAATAAAAAGCTCAATCGTAGTACCTTGTCTGTCATTTTTAATGAAACATACATATATATATATATATATATATATATATGCACAGAAATAACCAATGTGAGGATTTGTGTATGGTTATAGTGTTAGCATCTCAACCATAAAGCCTGAGTTTGATCCTCACCATGAACACTTAGCAAAGGGAGTGACTTCTTGATAATATTGGCCTGGTGATGATGATCCCGCTATGTAGCACTATTGTAGAGTGCCCAAAAACCATACCCACAAGTGTTGGGTATAAAACCGAGTAGTCATATATTCAGAAGACATCGATGATGGTGGGGAGGTGGGTATTCAATAGAAAAAAAAACAAAAACCATCTAGCACCAATACCTGCAGCCTGGCCACTCACAGAGATGTATAGCTCTCAGAACCCAAGTCGGATATGTCAAATTCTTATATAAATACTGGTAGTTTATGTCATCTGGGTAAGCAGACTACCAAATGGCCCAGCTTTGCATATAAGACATCAAGTATATAATTTTAATAGTCAGTGTCATATTGTTCTATACCCTTACAAATAGGATAAAACTAATGGCTACACACCACCATTTATACATTTGTGAATAATTTTAACTTTCTTTTTTTTTGTGTGTCTATATGAAGATTGATAGAGATGCTGGTCAAGTTTTGCAAATATTGATGCTGGCATTTATTGTTTATTTTGGCAGTGGGTGGGGACAGCATGCCCCAAAGAATGACAGCCTAACATGGAAATAAAACACAAGCACATCTGAAACTGCAAAATTTGCTGAAAATGACAAAGAGTGGCTCATCAGCAAGTGGTCAAGTCTTAAGGTTCAACAGGTGTCAGAGAGCTGATCAATACAGAGGCAGAGTTCAAAGAAAAAAAAAGAAGAAAAGAAAATTCAATAATTTATGACCTTGAAGGAAACAGAAAAGCACAAATATTTAAAAACAAATAAAATAGTGTGTGGTGGAGGAGCCTTTGGGCAAAATACAGAAATGTCCAAAAAAGTAGAAAAATAAAAAACTGCACAGCTAAATAAATTAAGATGATTTCACAAGTGTATGTGAATCTTGAGAGATGAAAGAAGACATAAGAAAAGGATTGAATCCCTTTGAATTATAGAAGATTCCTTGCCACATTTGTCTACCAAGTGTGACAAGGGCAGCTCAGTAACTGATTCTAAAATGTAATCGCAACTTTAATAAGTGGAAATTGTCATCCTTTATAGTTAAGCCGTGGAAGAGCAAGAACTGAAACTCTTTGCACCATCTTCAGCTAATGGGTTAAAAAATCATGAAAGCAACAAACAACAAAAATCAAGAATAGATCAAAAGAAACATCAAGGACGAAAAGCTTCAGTAAATAGTATCAATAAAAGTTATTTGTAGTCATTATTTCTATAGAATCACATACACATTATATATTTGACAAAAATATAGTTTTAAGGTATGCTATATTTATGGGTAAAAGTTCTCAATATCAGAGCATATGTAAATATAAATGAAAAAAATGGATACTGAGATCAACACTAAGTGGAGACGGTCCATATCAATCATTGAACTATGTGTATTGTAATGTGATGATGCAATATACCTTACTACCCATAATGCACCACTGACTAGGATATATGAATGGTAGAGCTAAAACTCAACACACAAGGCCTGAGGATTATGTTAAAACATAAAACAAACTGACACTGTTTGGTGTTGACCTCAGTGTCCACTTTTTGATATATATAAAAATCTCTAACCTTCAGACAAGTGAACTGAACAATTACAAAAGTGTTCATTGTTGAGTTGCTGAACTCAACAATGAACAAATCAGAAAACAATGAATCAGCAAAGAGACTAATTTTATATATACACACACACACACACACACACACACACATACATATTAAGATTCTCAAATGTGCAGGCCAGTATACAAAATATTATACTGTTTAAAATAAACAGATCATCAACTCAAATACAGGTATCCACAGGTAAAATAATAAAAATGTCAGATTATAAAATTAAAATCCATTAATTCTTTAGAAATTGTTTTATGTTTCACATACAAAACTGAGCAGTCATGACTTTCGAAGAAATCTGAACGACTAAAGTGTGCTTCAAAAGTAAATAAAACATTGCTTGATTGTGAATATATATCACCTAAAAACTGAATTAAAGAAACAGATTCTGAAATAATCCCCTACAAATCCAGTTTGGAAAGAGACAACAGTAGGGGGGGGGGGCTCTGACATTTAATTTTTTGCTCCTTCCAATCCTCATTACTGAAAATCAGGGGATAATGTACAATTGTTATGTTTTTGAATTCAGAGTTCTCCTAGACTGATTGCCAAGTATGGGGCTAGAGAGCTCCATCTGGCCTGTTTAATCTATAGACGGTGGGGGACAAGATGATTTCACACTTTTCTTAAATGTATTTGTACTTGTGAACAATGTACTTGAGTGGAATTTGAATAAGTCTCTCTGATTTCTCATTCTGAGCCACTATCAATTACACCACACCCACATTTTCATTGGGAGTGGGGTGGAAAAATTATATCGGTTG